GGTGTGCTGGAACCGCACAGAACATGCATCAAATGTTTTCTAGAGACTTCGAGGTACTGCATACCATTACTATAGGGCTTTGCATGAATCAGTGAGACGGAAAGGGTCAGTCTTTCCAGTTCGTTTCTTCAAAACCCTGAACATACTTTCTGAGCCAAGCCAGCCAGGGAGCTAGTGAATGAGAGATTTGGAATTACATTCTCAGCCTGCCTTTTGAGACTGGGGACTCCTCCAAATTGTTTTCTTCACCTTGAATTTAAAAAAGAAATGTCAGTCTGTTGCTTTTGAGACCAGTCTGTCTCTGGATTTATTCATTACCTCATTCAGAAATAATTACCTTATTTACATTTTCTACAGTATCACTTTTTCCTAAAAATACCAGAAAATTGCTGATGTAATTATAATTGTTTCACCCTGGTCAGCCTGTTTGTGGGACTTGCTCCTTCTTTTATTGCTGATGCCTTGAACTTTGCCCTAGGTCTTTCATCTGCTCTCAGAAGACTCAAATTGGTACCTTCTTGAACCTTTGCACTTTTTTTCTTAAAACTGCATAGTAGATGCTTCTTGTTCTTGAAGCAAGTATGCTGTTCTCTGGAAAAAAACACATTGACAGTAGCAGGAAGAAGTGTGCTAGCTGCTCTTGAACGGTGAAGCAGATACTCAGAGACTACTGAAAATGGCTTTTATTCACTTTGGTTAGGACAGTGAAAGGGATTCAGACCTTCAGAGCTAATCCTCTTTACATACACTGTGCTTATGATAAGGTTACCCATTCTACATACTCCAGATTCTTTCCTAAAGTAATCTTTGTGTTTCTTCAGTGAGGAAATTAATCTGTGCTTTTTCTTAAAGCAGCTCTATACAAGGTTGATTCACCTGTTCATACTCTGAACATCAGGTATGGTTTGCCTTTTGTTTGAATTGAACAGACTCTTCATCTCTACAGCAGATGCGTCCAGATGTGCAACTGTACTGTGCCCAAGACGGTCCACTGGATTTATGAATGTGCTACAGTAAAACCATCAAATGTCTGAGCATAATCCCTGAAGGCTCAAGTGACACTAATGCCTCTGAAGAGTATCTTTATCCATTAGACCTGCAGAATAGCCACAGGAGTTTATCCACTTTTTTACCTGTGTTACCATAGAAGCTTCTAACTGATGGTGCTTTTGTCATAGTGGTCTTCTGGTTTTAATTCTCCTGGGACCTTGCAGCCAAGCACCAGGTAATCTGTGCCAGTTGAGATGTGCTGTTCCTGTATTCACACAGTGAACATACATATGGATGCTCACTCAGAGAAAAAAAGGAAGGTTATTCATTAGTAAGTGGAAGTTCTTTGAGATGCATTATCTATATGCACATTTCTTACTCCTTTTCTCGTCTCTCCTGGAGTACCACTGGTAGAATTTAGGGATTGTTTGGTTGACAGGAAATAAGGCCATGATGCTGTTTGTCCCTTTAAGTTTTGCATGTGATGTAGCAGGAGTCTTTAGGTTGCTGGTCACAGGTGAGTGACGTGTGCTCACCTGTTGTGTGAACATGCATACAGACTACGATTTTAAGAAACTTCGTTTAATTTGAAACTGATTTTTTATATCATGCCAAACATAATAGAAGGCTTGAATTTTATTTGAGTGCACTTCTATGTCTTTAGGCACATGTATGCATCATATCTGTGATGTTGTAAGTAGTAAGAGTCAAAGTTAGTCCACATGCTGATTTGTGCTAACAAGACTTGATTCGTGTTTTTTACCATCTCAGCCATGTGTCTGCAAACACACTGAACTCTTCAGTTAACTGCCTTTGTGGGTTCGTTCTAGGCAACAGTTTAGGTTGCCTGTGCTAAGGATGTGGAGTGTCTCTGAAAGCCTGCCATTTCACTTCAACAGAGAATTGTAGAATTTCATACATAAATCCTCTGATTCATTGCAAAACATAATCTTCACATTAAAGTTAGGAGCTTTCAGGTTAGAATTATGGTTGTCTATACCAAACCTATAAAACAGCTTGTGCGAACACATGACTCGCTGTATTTGGTGTTAGCAGCAGAGATGCCAACCTTAAAGAGCTGACTCTTGTGAACCAATTGACCTTTGCCTGGAAACTATCCAGAAATATAAAGTGTTATTTCCTGAGGAAGTTCTTTGGTGTAAGGAAGCTTCACTGGGAGATGTTCTAGTACAGAAGTATAAATAATGTACTGCCAAATTACCATAGTTTCCATCATTCCTGGAAAAAAACTTACTCTAAGGATCAGTAGCATTTTGAAATCTGTGATGGCTTTATGAGGAATTTCACATGCCCATTCTCTATCCTTAAAGCTGTAGCATTCTAAAGCTTACAACATAACATTGCATATTCGTGCATATAGTGTGGTGGCTCAATGAGGGGCATCTTACGGATGCAAAAATATCTGATGAGGGCAAAATTTGTATTTGAATTAGCTTTCAGTTTCCAAACAGTGACGCAAGACAAGAATACTTTCCAGTGAACACAGTGGAATATTACTAATGTTTCTGTATAGACTGTGATTACTGAAGCTCCAGCCCGTTTGTTTCCTGTGCTGAATTCTGAGGATATCATCATGTCTTCCCTTAATCCTGCTTTAACGGTGTATCATGTTAAGCACTAAGGGAAGGCGTGAAGTCTAAATGTCACTGATATTTAGTACATTTCAGTGTTGACAGTTGTGTACACCAAATGATCAAAAAGGCCTCGTTGCTGTGTGGAATATTACATTGCTATATTAGTGTCTGTGAGAACCTTTGATAGATTGGTAAGCTTGTTAGAGGCTGCACAGAACAATGTATTTTTCTTCATTGACACTGTTGCCAAATAAATGGAGTTCTGAATAATGCCATTTACAAAACTTTAGTTAAAGATGTTTAGGTAGAAAATTCAGACTTAATCTAGACCTGTCACAGAGCAAATTATCATTCTACTACAAAAAGATACAATTTGCCAGTCCCTCAGGACTGCAGCATCTATCACACATTGTATAATGGTGTTAAATGCCATCTTCTGTGCAGGTTATTCTCCCTCTGCTGGGTGCTCTCCAAGTTTCATGTGTGACGATAAAAGAAAGACACTTTAACTTATCGCAGGCTCGAAGTAAAAAGATACTCACTACAGTACTGCTGCTTGCTACTGTTATGGGCTGACAGAGGGCTTCGCATGCTGCTCTTCTTCTATTTCTGCATCTGCATTTATTTCTGTTTGTACATGTAGCTGCCAGAAATAAAGGTGAACCTTGCTGTTGTGTTCATATTGAAAAGCAGATTCTCCTTTTTCCAGGTAACCCTTCTGTTCCACTGACAGTCCACTTATCTTAGCCTAGATGAGCTAACTCAAGTAATTAAAGGTAAAATTTGAATGAAAACAGGAAAATAGCTTCTTCAGACACTTACAGTCATTATTCCAGGTCATGAGAAAACTAGAAGTCTCTTATCCTCACCAAGATTTTCCTCAAATTATGTAACACAAATTTGTCTGTTTGACTTAAGTGCATACTTTTTTTCTTAATGGGACATACTAGTAACAAAGATTATTAGTTGGGAATGGGCACTTGCCTACGAGTAGCTCTTCCTTAACTGAATTATGTAATTTACCAAACCTGTTTTTCTTTCTCCTTTCTAAAGCTGAAGAATTTAGTTATTATGCACCTAGAATCTTTCCTGGTTCTCTTTAAAGCTCCTTTATTTTTCTTTCTCTCTTTTTCTCTGTCTTAATCTCCTTCCTCTCCTGCTCCTTAAGGCCTTGGAATATCTTTTCAAGTTCATTGTCCAATCTCGGATCCTTTACTCCAGAGCTACTTGTGGAATGGAGGAGGAACAGTTCCGTTCCAGCATCCAGGAGCTTTTCCAGTCCATCAGATTTGTGCTCAGCTTGGACAGCAGGAGCTCTGAGACTCTCATCTTCACACAGGTTTGCTATTTTCTACGCCTTAATTGGCAAACCAAAAGGCAGCTGTTTTCTGCACAGGTAGTATATATGGGCACGTGATGATTAAATGCAGGTTAGTAGAGTTTTCCCCCTCTAACAAGCTGATGATACTGGAAAATGACATAGCCAAGTCATGTCATTAGACAGCAGCTTTGCACCACTTCACAGATAGAGGTGAGCTGAACCGTGGACTCTCGAGAGGAAAGTGAATTGTCACGTGAGAATACAATTTTTGCTCTTCACAAAAGTAAACTGTGTTTTCAAATCTCTCATTTCTATGTCTTACGGTTGGCCTCAAGAAATTTTAAATCCTTAATTGTAGTAGCTCAAGTCAATATTTAGGGTCACAGCAGCATCACAGTAGAGAAGTTCAATTGATGTGCTCACAGTCAGATAAACTTAATTCCAGCATACTCTAAAATTACGGTCAGAATCATCTGCAGCCTGACCGCAAGCATACTGTGATACCCACACTCACATTTAATAACATTATTTTGAATATGGCCCAGATGACTTCACGAAGACTTCATGTGGGCTTAAGATACTACTCAAAGTGAGTAAGGATGCTGCTAAGTTTTGTTTCATATTTTAAAGACCACTGTACGAAATTACATATTTCTGTGTTTAAAAGTTTTAAATAGTAATGTCAAATGTGTTGTGTGTGCCTCAGCTCAAAGAATGTCAGAATGGACCACCTAGAACTTCTGGTAGCATGAAGGTGATTGGTAATCACGAATTTACTGTTCACAGATGTTTTGAACACCTACTGCAGTTTGCCAAAGAAGGAGTTGCTGTGAACGCTGCAACAAAACAGAGTGACTCCACTGGTTAGGGAAGCTGCCAGAAGTGTGATCTCTTTCTTAAGAAGCTGCTCTGAAAGATTTTGAGAACAGCTGCTCTAATCTTTTATTTAATCACCCATTAGTGGGTATAATAAGATGAGCCAGGAACATGAGAAATCAGTGCACAGAGTTTTGCAGGCAAAGTGACAGTGAGTGCAAAGAGCATCTTATGAACGCAGGCTGTTCAGGGTTCTTTGTTTTTCAGTTGTGTTGATCACAAACATAGAGGGAGACTAGATTTGAGGATGGGGTTATTTTCCTTTTTCTCTTTGTCTCTCTTTTTTTCCTCCTTTCTCTCACTATGGTATTTCTTACTTTGGAGTTTTGTAATTTGTAAAGCCTCTCCTTGTTTAATCTTTGAAAAGTTTACTTTTTGTTTCCCCCTTGCCACTATGTTGCCCCTTGATCCCAACTGCCCCATAGGCCTCTCAGCCTGGAGGGCAGGCGAGCGGAGCTGGGACATGTGCCCCACAAAAATGTGGTGGTACTTCAAGGCCGTCATTTAATTCTGTAAGTAATGATCCCCAGAACTGCACTGAAAGTATTTCATCATGGATGTTCCCAATTAATCCCTTTTCCCTACCCCAAACCCTCTTTTCCTGCATATAAACTGGAATTTAATGTTTAAGTGTCTGGTACTTTAAAACTAGGAAATGTGGAATATTTCAGTAATTAATGGAACAGCTAATGGCATCCACACACTGAAAAGACAGTACTGAGGGCCTATACAAGATTATATATGTCAAATTGTTCAGGATAGCCAAGGAGGTTATGTACTAGTTCTGGAAATCTGGACAACTGTTAAATACCTACAGAAATGCTTAAGGCCCTAGCAAACATAATTTTCTTCACACTTGTCCTCTTACCCAGGATATTAGAGAGATTTCAATAGAGTTCTTTCCAGCAACGAGATTAAAACTGATTATGTCCTTCCTTCCAGGCAATTAGTTTGACATGAGTAATGTTCCAGCATATTTTAGGGTGTTGTACAAAAAAGGGCCCTTCAAGGAACTGATGAAATGATGTAGCTGTTCCTCAAGATGGCTCCAAAGCTTCCTGAAGAGATCCCATGCATATCCTTAGATTGCTACTGGATATCCTAAATCACCACAGAAATCCTTCTGATTTATACTAATAGTTAGAAATAAGTTTAGGAAAACTCCTGTAAGGATTTACAGGATTGTTGGGCCAATATTGTAATTTCACTTGTATTATCCCAAAGATAAAGACGATGACTGGATTTGCAGCTGTTAGAGCCTTCCAAGAGTACCGTGAGCTACTTAAATGATTCATATTTGTTTATTTTGTTAGTACATTGTATGTATGTAGCAACAAATAGGTGACAACACCCAGGAGGCTATGTGGGTTTTTGTGTAATGTGAATTGATCGTAACAAGACAAGATGTTGAGAGAGATAACGAGCGGGAAGAAGAAGGAAGTAAATTTATATTCAGAATAATTTAATGGGCTCTACAATGTTAGTTCTAAAAACAACTTAGACTTTGCTCAAAGGCTATTTAAAGTAGATACCACTGTTGTTTGAAGGAAAAGATACTTTGAGGAAAGACTTGGCAAAGAAGGAAGCTGTATATTATGTGGGATTAGGAGAGGCATGCCGAGTGGTAGAGCCAGCATGGGAGAGGTACAGAAATGTTTATGCAATGAGAAAGCAAAGAAATCTGTGAGGAAAAGGAGAACTTGCAGAACAGAAAAAAATACCGATAGGTATCTGGAAGGGCAAAGCTGAACGGAGGTCTGCAACGAAGTTTGGTAAATCTGAACTTCTGCAGGAAATCAGTGTGGTTTGTGTGGAGAGCTTCAGACGAGGGAGGTGGAAACAGCAAGAAGGGGGGGGACGGAGCTGGAGTAAGGCAGCTGAATCAAAACCAGACTCTGCAGCAGTTCAGGAAAGCAACTGTCTAGGAATTTAAGTAGTTATAATGAGGAAACAGGTATGGACCTTGAGTAGGATGTAGAGGAAGAAAGAGGAGAATTTTAAAACGTAAGGGGTGTGTGGCAGGTATAAGGTATGACACCGAGTCTGTGGAGCTTGCAGACAGGGCGATGCACGGAATTTTCTACTGTTATGAAAAAATTAATTGAAAAACTGTGAAATAAGAGATGAAGAGTTTGATGTTGTTGTTGTGCTGGTATTGTTTCTGCACTTTAAGAAACACCTTCAAGGATAGCTCCAGCTTACTGGAAATACCCGTTATTGCAAGAATCACGTGCACGCTTACTTGCATGATGTGATGCCTCTTTCACATGAAATCACACCCCACCCCTGTTGCAGAAATATTGTGATGTCACGTGACAGCGCTGCTATGGTTAAGGGTCTGTCAACACATTCTTCACTTCAGAATATTTTCTGAAGATTTTTAACTCTCTTAGGTAGTTGCTCAGTACAAATAGTTGGTATGGAACTCTCTAATCAGAAGCAAGTTTTATATTTATTGAAAAAAGTAAATCAACAAAAATGGACTATTTTCTGTTCTCTGGCGCCTTAATTTTTTTCTGTTTTATAAGTTGTGTTCTAAAATACAGCTTTTTGAAGCTCTACAGTAGGTATGCGCTCAAGTTATCAAAAGACTTAGTATTGCAGCAGCACTTGATTTTTACATACTACCTGTGATTTGTCCACCGTCAACTTCAGGTGTTGCAAAACATTAACACCAGCCATAGTCCACTATTTAGTAGGTTTTTTGCAGACCCTTTCTTCAATTTTACTGTTGTTTCTATTTCACTGCATTTAGCTGCAGTTACAGAATTCAGAATTTTCAGTTTCTTCATTTACTTTCTCCAGGCTGCTTTGCTGAACTCCTTCCCCGCTATCTTTGATGAGCTGCTGCAGATGTTCACTGTGCAGGAAGTAGCAGAGTTTGTGAGGGGTACTCTGGGCAGCATGCCCAGTACAGTACACATCGGACAATCAATGGACGTTGTTAAGCTACAGTCTATCGCACGCACTGTTGACAGCCGCCTGTTCTCTTTCTCAGGTAAGACAGCGGTATCTGAGGCCGAGTCTTGCTGCTAACTAAGAGTAGGAACACGTTACATTTATTTTGCAGTTGCTTTGTTGCAAACAATTCATTGCTGAACACCAATAACCTTGGTAATTATTTATCTTGGTGGCATGCTGTGACATATATTCACTGTGGGTACTGTGTAAGTTTCCCTATGGTAGAAGATGTTTATAAATCTATGGTGGATAAATTGTAGTTACTAAAGGTTGATAAAAATACGTACATTAACAAATCAAGTCAATTATTAAAACTGCCAAATCTCACTTGATACTTTGTATTACTCTTCTACCGTTGTCATGGATAGGAAGACAACCTCCCTTCCAGCAAGCTTATTGTCTGAGAAACAGGGAGATAAAGTTATGTGAGAAACCCACTGCATTCTTTTAAAGTATGTTTAATCTTTACATTGTAACTTCAAGATTTCTTTAGCTCAGCATATTAGTAATTCTTTAAGAATCAATTGAATGAAGCAGGGATGAAGATTGTGAGTTTATTTCATATATAAAGGTCTGAATGAAAGATAGTGGAAGATAAAAAGCACCATTGGGCTTACCTTCCCTGTAGTGAGGATCTCAAGTTAGTGCACTCAAATTATTCTACTCAGTGCAAGGTGAGAATGATAACAACCCAGAATCATGTTTAAACCATACATTGTAATTGTTTATAAATGTGTATTTTTTTTCTTAAATTTGAAATTCATTTCAAAAAATAGGAGAGAGTGTAGAGAATGAGTAGATTAGTCCACAGGTGGCTGTGGAACAGGTGGTGAATTTTATCTAATTCTAGTGTTTTGAACCTATTGATAAAAATATTTGTCTTCGTGAGTGCTAGTTCATGGGCAAAAACCTCTTCTTCTGGCTTCTCAGTGAAGCCAGGCGTAACTTTACCCACAGAGTCGAGGGCTTTAGTTCTTCTCATTAACCTTCCTTTCTCCTTTACCAAGATACTGGCAACTAATGATGCTTTTAGCTGCTGCACAGCACCATAACATCTCACTACAGCATCAAAAACCAGAAAGAAAGCTTTAGTGTTGCAAGGCTATGACTGTATAGATGCCACATTTTCCACCCAACATAATCGTAGACCCCTATCCTATTCCTTCCCTTGGAAGCATGACCTGACACTCCCAGGTCAACAATCTCTCCCATGTCCTATCTGCACCTGGGAAGATGAATCTAGTTTCCAAAGTTATCTTTTGGCTGCCCACCCTACCTACTCTTCAGGTCTTGCAAATAAATGAAGGCACATCCTCTTTTTCTTCCCTCCCATACGGTGATGACTTGTTTTCCTTTTATCTCTCCTATCGGTCCATTTGCTGACACCTTGCCACTTTTTCCCTGTCTCTTTTTTCCTGTTTTGGCTACTGTTTTCTGCAGCTGCTACCTGCTCTCCCTTCTTTAATAAGATTAAGGTTTGTAAGCCAGCTAAAAGAGAAGAATTAGCCAGCTTCCATGAGGCATATATTTGAAAAGCTCTATTAGCTGTGACAATAGAACTGGAAAGCAACATGAAGTGAGGAAGGGTTTGCACAAAGGAAATCACAATTAGAAAGTATCAGTTCACAACTGTTGTTTCCAAGCTGTATCACTATTGAGAACACCATGTATACTGCATTTATGAACTTGTGAAACTGGATGCACTATTCATTCATTTCACAGTCCTTGGAAGTGTGGTGTACTACAACCTGTACGGTAGAAGTTGCACCAATTAATCAAACGTACTGTATATCAGTAGGTTAGTTTGGATACCAGAAGGCTGCTGATTGGGATGGTTGAAATTTAATTTTCTTTTGGAAGACCTGTGACCCGATTTTCCTTCTTTCAGAGTCCCGGCGCATCCTGCTGCCTGTAGTTCTTCACCACATTCACCTTCATCTACGACAGCAGAAGGAGCTACTTATCTGCTCTGGGATCCTCAGTAGTATCTTCTCCATAATCAAGACCAGCTCTTTGGTAATCTGCTGCTTGATTATTTTTTTTTCAATGGCACCACTGATTTAGTAAAAGGAAGACTGAGGGATTTTTATAGGTCAATACAGGTTTTTCAAAGAACTTTTAAAAACAAAATTCTGCTAACTTTCTGTCAGCAGGAGAACATCTGAAATGAGGGTCTGCTTTTGTGTGTGTGACTCAGAGCATGCTGATTACACAGTGTTCTTGCTGTTAGGAGGGGAAAAAAAGCACACGCATTTACCAGGTTTGACACAGTTTAATTTTCTTCATCCAAGCCCAGAACTTAGATGTCAATGGAGTTCAAAAGCTCTACACAGCTCTAGGACTTGCAGTTCCACAAGAGACAGTAACTAGCACTTTGTGATTCCTGTTAAGAGAATACTCTAAAATTATCCAATCAATGAAATCACACTTACTTCTGGAAACTGCTGCTGAGTTTAAACACCCAGCTTTGATGATCATAATACTCTGATCTCAAATGGTAACTTGATGATTTAAAGCAATGCTCACAAACAAAGGGTGGTAAAGTTTCCCCACCTGACTCTAAAGGAGGAAGCTCGTGATGCTAAATATAATTCATACCAATGAGTATTTCCAATTACAAGTTATGAATTTGCATGAAAGGAATGAGATAAAAGGTATCATGGTAATAAGCTAAAATAATGGTGCCATAGAATAAAGATTCCTGAACATCATTTGATCCCATTGTGTTCTAGAGTGTATGCAGACCTTTGATTATAGATTTACCTTTATGGCTGTGACCCTGAATGTTTCCATCAGAGGCTGACAAGGTAACACGCACGCACGCACGCACGCATCACAACAGTATCTGGTACCAGTGATGAATTTGATTGTGCTTCTTTGAACCTCTGTTATGGAGCTCTCTATCAAAACGAGTTTATGGTATGGCTGACTCAGCAGAATTGTCTTTGCCAATTCTGTTCTCTCCAGTTTCTAAGTGTCTGTTTGCTCACCTCTTACTGTAGGAGGGAGATGTCGTGGAGGAGGTTGAGATGATGGTGGAGAGCCTCCTGGATGTGCTTTTACAAACTCTGCTTACAATCATGAGTAAATCACAGTCTCAGGAGGCGGTAAGAGGGCAGCGTTGCCCGCAGTGCACAGCAGAAATCACTGTTAGTAACTAACAATCAGTTTCTATTTCCTGCTTCTCTAACCTTTGGTTCAGTCCCTCACCACCACCGGCACCTCATCATCATCTCTGCTGCATGAATGCCCAGGGCTTTGTCTCTTTCCCTTAATAAGCCACAAATCCATTCCTTCCTCTGTGCAGTAGCAAGGTCTGCAGGAAGCAGCAGAGCTCAGGAAGCTTTTGGGGATTTCCAGGTTATTTTCTTGTTTGTCTTTGCAGCTGTGATTGAGAATTATTGTTCAGAACTCGAGGCATATGCTAGCTGGGTAGCTGCCTAGGGCTTCACCCCTAAATAGGTATCACCAAGGGCTATGTGAGTATCAGGCTCTGATTCCTAAGGCTGAGAATACCATAATGCTCAGTGGACAAGTCCCTTTACTTAACACCCTGGAGAGCTTCTGTCCAGGTTCACTGATTATTTCATGCAAATGAACCACATAATATTTTTGAAAAAGAAACTGGCAGATACTAAGTCAAGTGAACTGTTGAACTTGGTGGGAGAAGAGGGAGAAGTTTTTGTCCAGACTGTCGGCATAAGCCTAGGGGAAGAAATTTTTTCTTTGACATGCAACGGAAGAGGAGAAAAAGAATAGGATTTTGCTGTTCAGCTTTCTTCTTTTCTGGATTTGTTGTCCTTTTCTATTCTAGCATATTTTCTTCTGGTTTTGCTCGTCCGAGTCTCTAATGCAGCTTTTGCACGATGTATGATGTTAAGCTGTTGTTCGGAACATCCCTTTTTTTATATTTGCTTTTTTCTCAAACAGCTGAAACCTCAGAGGTATTGTTGGGGGGCAGATGTACACTAAGGTGCACTTCTCACACAAGAGAGAAGGTTGTATCTTTCCATGTTAGCTCAGATAAAGTAACAAATGGTAGAATCCTGATAAAGAACAAGGCATTTAGTAGTTTTCAGACATGCTCTTCAACACAAAACAAGAAAGGTGCTAGCTTGCAAATATCCAGTAACATCTCAATTTCCTTTTACTCCTTCCATTTGCCTTACTGTTATTTGTCACGTGCCACCTCACACATAAGAGCACACCTTTTTTCCTAATGAAGTTCAGCCCTGTAAATTTTATTGCAACAACCTATGTCAAAGCTTCTGGGTAGATGCTTGAGCCAATTAGAAAGAAATTAAAATGGAGTGAACGGTCCCAAGTATAAAATCCCCTTGTATTTGTTCCTGAATTTATATTTCACAGCACAGTGATATGTGGAATCTTACTAGATACTGCTTAGAAAGTAGTTTGTATATTTTCCAAATTAACTGCACATTGTCACAGACAAAAATAGCGTTGTGCAAGGGACTGGCAGTCAAAAGACATAGTCATTATGTTCTTGGCACTGCCTTGCTTGTTATCTTGGACAGATTGCTTAACTTCTCTGTGCTTTGCTTTCAGATATGTAAAATGGGGGAGCTCATCTTTGGAAAACACTTTGGGATACTGTGGTAACTGGTTAGGGTGCATCTGCTTTGCAGGCCAGAAATGTAATTGTAGCTCATGTAGGCTTACCCAAACTATATTCAGAATATCTTACTGGAATACTGTTAGTACTGTAGCTATGACAGCACATAACTTGGTGAACACTAATAAGCCACATATATACAAGATTCCAGACACCTTTTGTAGCCTATACTGATCCCATGCTGTCATCGCTATACTTTTTTGAGTATCTGAGCCAATTAGTTTAAATAATTCCTGGTCTGTCTGCATGAGCTGCAGTCACACCTTTGATAGACATAGTATATTAAGTAACTGAAAAAGGCAACTGTCAAAAACTGCATGCTTGGAGGACGATTCATTAATGTCTGTATTAATAATTTTAAATTATTTTTGTTTAGACTACAACATTGGTTACAAGACCTTTAAAACTGGCATCTGTGGGGGAGCCTCTAAGAGGTGTATTCCTATGAATTAACAGTAACTCAAGAACTGCTAACATGCGGTATTTTTAATCTCTGTGCATGACAGCTTTCCTCTCATAGGCATTGGGGCCATTTCAGACCCCTCCCTTTATACCTTACCCCAGGTTGAGTTTTATATTTATGACATTTCAGATTGTCGAATGAAATAGTTTCTCATTTGGTCAACAGGGAGAATATGTCTCCTGCCTTTTATCTTTGCTTCGTCAGATGTCTGACACTCATTTCCAGCACTTACTGGACAACTTCCAAAGCAAGGATGAACTAAAGGTACAACAGAACATGATGTGTGTAGGGCGGTTCACTCGGAATGGGAGAGCAGAGGGGAATCCCTCCAGCATTACTTGCTCTGCTGATCATTCCCGTTCACTGGCACTCATGGACCTTCCTTTCACTTTTATAATGATGGGTGTTGTGTTACAAAAATATTTAAGACCACAGGACACTGAATTATCTTCATAACAGCAAATAAAGTCCCAAGATAGATGTTTTTAGACATAAAAGGATACTGTTATTGTACCACGTAGAACATAGTCAGAGGAACAGGGTGGTTTTAATCCTGTGAATGTAAAGTCAGTTGTTCTGTAGCATTTTACTAGATGTTCAGTATGCATTGGAGCTTACTTACAAAGGGTGTTGATTTTATGCCCAAAGAGAATTTCAAGCCTTTTTGGGGATACAGATGTCTCTAGCAGATGAAATCTTTTTTGGGAAAGCAGTAACCTTACTATTCCACTCCCTGCATGCTTCCCAAATTTGTGAACATTAATTTAAATTATGGCTCTTCATGAACAGAAGGGGTTGGTGAGGGTCACAGACCCCTCTGGTGGCTTTTTTGCCACTGAGATTTTGAAATGGCACATCTCAAAACAGCAGCAGTATCTCCGACAACAGTCTGTTTAAAAGGCAGAATAATTTAATAAATAAAGACAAGATTTTATATAAAACGCTTTTGATTAGCATGGCATTCAATAAAATATGGGCAATAAGAAGAAAAATGTGGCAGGAGCTTATGTTACGTTAACAAATGAAATGGAGAAACAATGAGAAGTCCTCTCTGAATAGGCTTTCAGCTTCTAAATATTTCATGTGCATATAGAGAGGCTGAATAAATCAGGGAGATGAATTTGGGATGATATAATTCTTACCTTTAGGTTGCAGGGTTCAACATAGCTCAGGTTGATAATTATCTGAGATTACTACCTTTCAGGTAACTTTCGAATTGCTCACAGGAAGATGATTTGGTAAATTAATTCATATTAATTTTTAATAGATATTTTTAAAAGCTATCTAAACTATAGTTCTTATGTCAGACCAGTGGAAAGGTTTGTCATTGAGCTGAAATTTGTCTTTACACCCATAAGAACAAACACTGTTGTATCTCTGATAACCTAAGGATATGTTCCAAGAGTATCACAGAGGCTGAAGATTTTATACCCAACTTCTATTCCAACTATCAGTTGACCTAATAAAATATATTACTTTTTTTTTTCCTTCAAATATTGCTGTAATAATATTTCCAATACTTTTTCTTGGATGGAAAGGCATTATGTTCACTTTTCAGTGTTACATCTAGGCCAAAATGAGGCCAAAAGTCAAGGAGCTTCTGATGCTTTATTCTTCGCTCAGTTACACCAAGCTATTAATCTCCTCCTCCCCCCGCCCCCATTAAGGCATAATGGTAGGACAGTTTTGAAGAAACCTTGCACTGCCACTTTCGAGTGCTATCTTGATTTGGTGTAGAAGAAAAACAAAACAATAAAATCATAGTTTGCAAAGCCAACAACTTGGCATGTTTTAGCCTCGCTGTTGTTCTTTATAGATACAGAGGTGCAAGTAGACAAAAACCAGAAATGTCTTCAGGTTTGGGGATTTTTTGGAAAGCAAATATTCAGCTGAATGTGTTTTAAGAGCTCTTTGCTGCTGCATATGGCCAGAAATGGGGGTTTCTGTTACTATTTTAAAAAGCATACGTAGGAGTTTTTTTGGGCTTGGGTGTGGGGTTTTTTGTCAAATTTGTGACATAAGTGCAAAGAAATTTAGACAGATACGTTAATTAAATGAATGCATAAATAAATTATTATCATTCCAGTATATTTGAAAATAGCTGCAAATTGACACTGGAACTCTGGATGATAATATAAGAAGTCATATACAATTATGCACATAAAGAAGTTTTTTATCTCCCTGTAGAAGTTAAGATTTAAAAGACAGCTGCAATTTGTTTATTGCATATTAGAGGCATACAAAATGAAGAGCCATATCCCAATATGTTTCCATGATTTCAGGTGAGTGGCCTAGTAACGCAAAGCTCAAGTGGAGCACACTTAGCTTAATTGTCTTTCTTATAATCAAGAAAATAGATTAATCTGCAGCTGCTGGTGATTTTTTTAAAATTTGTTGCCCTATGTGATAGGAGTTCCTCCTGAAGATTTTCTGTGTATTTCGGAACCTGATGAAAATGAGTGTCTTTCCTCGAGACTGGATGGTGATGAGGTTGCTCACCAGCAAGTAAGTAGAGAAGCAGGTATAAACTGTTGACATTCTGCATGGGAATTTTTTCTCCTCAGCTGCGCAGTTAAAACCTGTGATGCAGTGTGTTTCATCAGACTGAGATGTGGTGATCAAGACAGGAATTCTGGAGTGCTCATCCTCGTTCTGCAGTTAATTTTAACACTCTGGACCAATGATGAAAATTCTTAATCTTGTATCACTTTGTACAAATTGTTTATTAAAACATAGAAAGATAGGTGACTTCTATGGGAATCTAGCAGTGATTACATGAAGAATGCCTGTGTCTGTACATACAGTAAAATCAGCACCACAAACCACTGTAATTTGTTATACTCCAGATTCAAATGTTCTTTTTTTGTTTTCTTTTTTTTGTTTTTGACTGCAGTATCATAGTTACAACAGTTCAGTACCTGTCTTCTGCACTGCATAAGAATTTCACGGAAACGGACTTTGATTTTAAAGTAAGAATTGATACTCAGAAAATGTTATGACATCTTTTTAAACTAGCAGTAACAAAGGAACAAGAGCTATTCTCTACATTGGCTGATTATATTGGCGGTATTTATTTGAGTATATGTGAGGAAGATGACCTAACTGATAAAAGACAGGCATTTGAACCTGCTGTGGAATTGAGGGGAAGGAGAACATACACTGTGAGATGAAATCGAGAACATTGAGTCCCTCATAAAGGAAACAAGTATCTTCATAAGCAGTGGAGCTAATGAAGCATGCTGTCTTACAGATTCATGGCTAATAAAATGTGAACTCCGGCAATGCTTTTCCTGAAGTTGGGACATTCATGATCTTCCTCTCCCAGAGGTCTCTCTCTCGGGCTGTTGACTTAAACTGAGGGGAACACAGTATCTTACAGAGTGTTTTCCCTATGTCTGGTGTAGTTGAAAATGGGCAACAAGTTCCGTGTCACTAAGGAAAAGCTGCCAGAGATGTAGCTAGGCACATGTACATACAGCATGATGGTAAAAGCCTCATCCCTTTGGGAAAACTGACTAAATTATAGGGATCTCATTCATGATATAATCTAAAATCTGGGGATTTTTGAGGGATAAAATCTGTTTAGCCTACAGAAAAAACAATTTAAAGCTTCGCTGAAGTCACCAAGTTTATTCATTTTTGAACTCTGGTGCTGAGAGGAAAGCCCGGTGGCGTTACCTTCTTGGGGTTTTTAATTTTAGTTCCTACCAGGTTTTAAATAATCCATTGGTATCCTTAAGAGTTTAGTATCTCAATAGTTAAGATACATATTGATTAAGTTACATCTTCATTACAAAAAAGAACAGTCTGATTCTACGTATAAAGGAACATATGTATGTCTTCCTACACTTGTTTAAGACTTACTCCATGGAGTGTAATGTAAAACTTCCTTCCTGTGTCACAGGTGTGGAACTCTTATTTCAGCCTGGCAGTTTTGTTTATAAACCAGCCAAGTCTCCAACTAGAAAATGCCACACCAGCTAAGAGGAAGAAAATTCTGGATAAGTAAGAACATGTTTTGTTGGGTTCCCAGCCTTTTTTGCCACCTCAAAAATGAGACTTCAGTCACTGTGATTTATTATGGATCTTGGGATGTGGCAATGTTTGGGAAATAAATAAGTGGATCTCCTAATACAGTGTTCAGTGAATAGTCGACTTGTTTGATATTCTTATGTTGACTTAAATGTGGATTTGATTTTTTTTTTTTTAACATCACTGCCTTGCCAGTTTTTGTTCCGTAAGGCAGTTGTCTATCTCCTCTCTTTCAGATATGGCGATATGAGAGTGATGATGGCATATGAGCTCTTCAGCATGTGGCAGAACCTGGGTATGTCTCTTCCTTCTCTGTCCTAACAACCAAAGCCAAAGTAACCCCGGCTTTCCGTTGGGTGTTTTGGGGGCTTTGGGGTGTTTTATTTACTATTTGTAGCATCATAGAATACTTAGTATCTCTTGAGAGTGGTAAAACCAGGAAGCACTCCTCCCACCAAAAACTCCCTTCTGCGCTCTCTCATCATGTTTTTTTTTTATTTGAAATAATACGTTCCTATGAATTTGAACGCTTTCTTTTCAAATGTGACAGTGGCAGGTTTTGGTTGTTTTGATGCATCAGTGACAGTTTTTATGTGTTTGCAAATATAAAATCAGCTTTTTCTAATCCCTTCAACTGTGCTGCAGTCAGGTTCATATGGAGATACACTGTTACTCTCTGGCTTTTGTCTGCTCCATGGCTGTAAAGCAGAAATGTAAATTTTCACAGCTATAACCAAATTTATAATTTTGTAGATGATTCAAAAGCCAAAGTTGTCATGATTCAAAATTATAGAATCATAGAATTATTTAGGTTGGAAAAGACACTTAAGATCACCGAGTCCAACCATAAACCTAATGCTACCAAGTCCACCACTGAACCGTGGCTATGTGTGTTTGATAGTAAAGCCCAGAAGTGGCATATGGTAAAGTTTCTTTTTTAGTGTCTTCAGGTATCTAGTATGCATAACAAATTCTGTGTAGCTACTTTAAAAAGTAAAAAAAAAAAATTAAAAAACAAAATGGAAAACCAAAACCCACGAAAGCCCTGTCCACAATAATGCAATGTTTGCGATAAAATTTCAACTTCCCCAATTCATTTGACCTTTTCCTGTATATTTTGATTAAGAAATTAGGCATGTTACAAAATGGGGAAAAATATATCTCGCCACAGGCCTCAAAAGGTAAATGGAGATTTTTCATCTAGGACTTGTGCTTTTAGAAGTGTGCTGCAGCAGTCTTGGGTTTAGGTAATTCAGGATTTTATTAATAGAAGAGCCAAATAACATCTGTACCGCATCAGAGCAAGTCCAGCTAGGCCAGTATTCTGTCTCCATCAGGGTCCAAAAATGAATACCTGTGGAAACGTTTGAGATAAAGGAAGCCTAGAGTATTCTAGAGGAAAATAAGAAAATGTTCGCTGATAGAGATCACAAATAATACAAGGTTCTGAGAACAGGTAAATCATTAAGAGGACAAAGGAATGATATAAATCAAATTGGATAACTTGATAAGGTGGCTGCAAGAATATATTCAAGAAGCCAAATATGAACCTTTTATTTGTAGAAATATAGGTAGGAGTGCTGTTCAAGAAGACAAAGACTACAAATGTATCATGCTGATAATCAGCTGAATGGGAGCTACCTGTAAAATGCCATGAGTAAAAAAGATACCATAATCTTTGAGAAAATATGTAAGAATCTTGAGTAAGAGAAGAGGGACGATATTACTGCCACAGTTTTTTCATAAGTGCACTTGATTCTAGAATAGTTTGCCTGGTCCTGCTTTCTACAGCTTAACAAAACCAACCAACCAAACAAACCCAAGGCAAGTTGGACAGAGTTCAGAGAACAGTCAGGAAGATAGCTACAGAAGTAAGAAAATGCCTTATTATAAAATACTGAATAAGCCTGATCCGTCTTGCACAACTAAGATGATACAGCCAGACTTGATCACAGTTTCTAAGCATCTGTGTGGAGAATAAAAGGCTCTCCAATATAACAGAGATCAAATAATCAGAAAATGATGCTACACAAATTCAAATGAGAAGTGAGAAGCCAGTTTTAGATGTAGATACAGATATTTATCACTGAATGTTGTTCCAAGTATGGCTATTTTGATTTATTCTCTGAGACTGCACAGTAAGCATGCCACAGAAGAGATCGTTAGCAAAATGCCTTGGGTTTCTGTTGCTGAGAAGCAATGCAATTTGGTCCTAAGTCAAGGTCAGTTATGAAATTGAAACTTCCATAGCACTGAGGATGAAGAGCTCTGTAGTTCTTTGAAATCTAATTATGTTCTATTAAATACTGTTGTTCTCACCAGCCCTTTCAAAATCTTTTTCTTCATAAATTAGAAGTATCTGTGGCCTCTTTTCCCCCTAGTTAGTATGTTTTAGTTTGGTTATTTTTGACAGTTTGAATTCCTTTGCAAGTAAAATGCACTGACAATTTTTGCTGAAGGCTTTCACAGTGAAATAAAAAATGCTCTTAGAGACTTTGCAAGGAATGGTGTAAAGCAAATATTGTTTTTCCAGGAAAAGAATGTGTTTGCTTTTCTAATGCTCATGCCTACTACTTTGTATATGTCATTATTGCAAGGGTTCCCCATTTTCTCAGTGACAGATAACAAAGGCTTTTATTTAATTACAGTTGCTTTGTGTTGTACAGGTGAGCATAAGATTCACTTTATTCCGGGCATGATTGGCCCCTTTCTTGGTGTTACACTTGTTCCACAACCCGAAGTTCGGAATATCATGATCCCTATCTTCCATGACATGATGGACTGGGAGCAGAGAAAGAATGGCAACTTCAAACAGGTGAAGTCGCTTCCCAAGCATTTGCAGTATTCTTCTTGCTCTGTCCATCTGCAGTGTCCAGCTGGAAGCAAGGAGTTTGCATCTGTTGATCCATTTCTGATTGTGAAGAAGATGTTGTCATGTAAATATATAAAAATAGAAAATTTGAAGCATAATTCACAAAACTATTACAAGACTCCCAAGATTATTTAAACAGTGGAGTTTACAGCAAGCTGCATTTCCCATGAACAGAGAGAAGAGGAGCAATGCGTTCAGCACATTGGAGATGAGGAAGCGACAGGAATTTTGTTAGTGCTGGGCTCTCACTGCTCCCCTTGATTTCACTTAGATTATCAGTCAACTATTAAATGGGTCAGACTGAGAACCAAAAATGGAGATGTAAAGATTTAGCCAGTATTTGTGAAGACAGTCGTGTTTGATTCTTTGTCTTCAATTTCCAGTTAGAAAGTGGTATTGTATTATCAAATAATTATACCATGCTTTGAAACAGACTTTGTGACTGGATATTTTTTAAGAAATTGTAGCAGCTCTCCTGGAATGGTTATGCCCAACAACAGTTCTGTAGTTTCCACCAGCTGTGAGCTCTGATTGCAAAACAGGGAGAGCAGTCTTCATCATTTTGTTGCCCGGTCATGGTCAGAGAATTGCTTAACTTTTCCACTACAAAACAGATCCCTAATGTGCAAAGTATTGATAATGAAGGATTGGTTTGGACTGGATCCTCGGTGCTTCATTGTCATTGTGTTTGGGGCAATACTGAGGGCAAGTATCTGCACATAAGTGCTCTGAAATAGTAAATCCTTTCATTTAAATTATCATAACTCATGTGATTATTTATTATCCACAAACTCATTAAAATGCCAGATCTAATCTATCATTCCAGGAGAATAACAGACCTCTTCCATAACCTGGCCTATTAAAGGCTGTGTGGAAAAGTATTACCAGGAGCTTATGTTTTTATTCCTCTTCAACTCCCTTGATTATTACTATTATTTACTACTGTTATTATTACAGTAGGATTTGATGATGGTCCTCTTTTTGCTTGTTTTAGCATAACAATAGAACAGTCCCTGCTCTGGCATTTACAGTTATAAGTACCTACAGTCATCTTCAGGTTCCTGGACCTGTTTATACTTTCTGTATCAAGATGAGCCCTTCATAATCTTCATTTAATTTTTATACTCACTGTTATATTCTAAACTAGAGCTCCAAGAATATTTCTTAAATTACCTGTGGAGCAAATTTCCATACTGTTTTATGAAGCATATATCGTAACTTTCTAAGATTAAAGACAGAATACTCATCTGTATTAGTGAGAATGAAATAAATAGTTCAATAGCACAAGACGTATTAAACCTTATTAACATTAGCTGCTGGAACCAGGACGTTGTTTATTGTCCAGTAGAATGCTAGATAGCTGGACAGATGCATTACTGATTTCTGTCAAATCATTGTAGATCACAAGCAAAGAGAGGGTAGGGGTTTTTTTAATTTTGAGTTTCTCTTTACTTTTTGAATGCTAAATTGGTTGTCAGAAAATACAAAAATCCTGGAAATTAATTTTCAAGCCCTTTTTTTATTTTCTTCAGTAGCTCATGTTTTAACAAGGTTATTTTTTCAGTGGTACTGGATAACAGTGCAGTCTGATTCATGGACTAAATTAGGTCTCCCTTTAATGATTTCAGCAACAAGAGCACCAACTCCATTTGTGTGCCTCTCCTTCCTTCGCAATTTGGCAGCTGAAAAACAGAGAGAAACTCAGACTATGCTTGTCTTTAAATAAAAACAAGCCATATTTCTACAAACAGTTTCAACCTTTAGGAACCTCTGTCTTCATTAGTGCTGAAAGTGTGTTTTCTACAAGATTTCAAAGAGTACATGAAATTGTTTTGTTTAATGTTAGATACGTTGATTTCTGCACTTGAATCAATTTTATGGGAATATCTGATATAAAACTTGATCATAGGACATATTAGACTGGGGAGAAATATTCAAAACCTTTGTAAGGGAAGAGAAATATAATGATACTGTTGTGGCCCTTTATATAAGTGTGAAAAGAAAATGCATCATATAATCATAGAGAAGCTTGACAAAACTGGGTTTAATGAACAAATAATCTTCCAATGCAATGATGCCTGGGTGACTGGAAATCAATTACCATCACAGCAGACCAGTGGCGATCACGCCATGAATTAGTTTCTCTGCATGGATATTCTATTACAGTACAGGATATAGTTTATCTGATATACTGGTTCACAGAAAGTGTGTCTGAGTGATTTATTTGATAAGAGAATAAACTTCAGAAATTCTGTGAAGAAGAAGCGTTACCTCCCCTGGGATGTTCATTTAGACCCTGATAAGCAAAAGGATAATTGAGTTTTAGTCCTCCTTTTTCACTGAAAAATGAGAAAAGTGTGTCCATTTAACCGAGCTGCAGAGAAATAAATCATTCACACACAGAAGTGGGCAGCCCCAGGGCATGAGAAATAAAATATTCTTCCCGTCTTCCTAGTGTTTGGAACTCTTGGCTTCTACCTGAAGAGTTCATTTGTACCCAATCATTTCTTCATCCAGGTGGAAGCTGAGTTGATCGATAAGCTGGACAGCCTGGTATCCGAAGGAAAAGGTGATGAGAACTACAGGGAACTCTTCAGCCTGCTGTAAGCTATGCCAGTTTCTGCTCACTCTGTGTCGTGCGGGGTCATTGCAGGAGTCAAAGTAGTGATCTGTGCAGCCGCAGCTGCAGTGCTGATCCTCAGAGAAAGCAGCAAAGGGCTTTCTGGCAGGTTTTCATGACACGGCTCAGTGAAAGAGAGATACATCACTCCAATTCTGAAAAGGATATAAAAACCTAAATTCTTCTTTGTCTTCTTTCTGTGAAATCTAATATAAGGCTGCACAGGTAAGTAGTTATCAGCCTCCTATCAAAAATTGATTTGCTAGAGGAGCCAGTGCCTTTCTTTTTACATAGCAATAAGTGAAATCACGGCCTTAGGATTGTTTAGAGAAACAGTGTACTATCTAGCAAGTCAGGCCTTGTTAGAGCAAAAGAGATTTTCCTGTGCTTCTTCCAATTTTTGAAGGTCATGTTTTGGTTGGCTCAGCAGTTGCAAGTTGCTTCCTCCAGAGTCCATCATGACACTGTATTTCCACTCCCTTTCATACCAAAAATCCGTACTCATACGGATAAACTTAAAGACTTTACATCTGACTTTCCACTTAGTTATCTTTGATTTCTGATGTCTCCAAATTTCATTTCCAGTGATCCTGGTTTATTTCAAAAGAACTTATTTTGAACTCCGAGAGTCCAGAGCAGTTAACCCTAAATCTTTTAATATTCCAGCGAGCCACAGAGATCATTAGCAGAATTGTAGCCATATATTCCAGACAATTTTATATGGCCTCCAATAGCATGCTGGCAGTTTGAGGCATAAACCTTTGTTTCACTAGAACCAACACTTGTATTTCTGAATTTACAATTGCACATTCATTCATTTTCAAGATAGATAAGCCTGCCCATCCTATATGCTTATCCTTAGGAAACATGTAAATGTGTTCAGTTTTGATTTGTGTATATTCAGCCTTGGGAAGTCTGGCACGCTGTGTACAGATAACAGAAGTCTATTTCAGGGCTAAGGGAAAGAAAGTATCTATCCTTTTATTTATTTATTTATTTATTTATTTACCTGGTAAGAGGAATATTGTGCATTTCCTTTGCTCCAGTTGAAGACATTTGTTACCCAAAATGTTAAGAATTCAGGGACTGTAGCTTGTTAACTATTTTTAGATGATAGTGAGTGGATGTATTACCAAGAAACACAGCCTGGAAGTCCAGCAACCTTGTAGTTTATATTTGCTACTGACTTTTCTGAGAACAATGTGAACTTTGAGGAAACAATTCCACAAAGTCAGTAAATGCTGTGTGAAATAAACAGTTGACCCGGAGTTCTACTGTCTCAACTATACTGCTGAAATGTGAATTGGCTCCCTCAGCTGGAAATCATTCCAGTACAGAAGAGTTTGCCTCTTCTGACGACATGTATGACACCCAACAGAATTTCTTTCCTCTTGCCAGTACAGAAGTGGCAAGTTCTTTTCTTTGACCGGAGATCCAGTTTCAGGAAACTAGCATGTAAATTTGCTTTCTTTTTTCATGTTTTAAATAATGATTTTCCGTGTTCTTGCTCTAGCCTTCTCTCATCCTTCTCTCATCCTTCACAGTGGTCTCAGTGAGATGCTTTGCTGTATTGTCTAGTTTGCTGAGCAGGAACAGATTGCCTTTAGTTATTTACAGTTTAAATAAATTGTGATTCAAGGTTGGTTGGTTGGTTACTAATTAGAGACAAAAATTTATGCAGGGATGAGCAAAGAAGAGGTATTTGCAGTAGGTTTAGACTCCCTTCCAACTTCTGGCTGCTGTTAGTAGTATTTAAGCTACAGGTAATAATGTGGGAATCAACTGTTGCCGTAGGCATTGCTCTTTTTCCTATATTTTAAATGGCAATGTGAAGATATTTTTCCTTCTCCTGTCAATTCTGTGATTTCCTTGTCTTTGCTTCATGCTGCCTGGAGTAGAACCCAGCTCTTTGGGCCTTACCCCAGGTAAGATAGTAATTCTATGGATTTGTTTTATGAGGGAGAAACAAAGTTGTCCACAGCTGTCTGCATGAACTATACCATTTCCCTGGAAGCTTCATCTGCTGTCTTTCCATCTCCAAACAGTTTGCTGGAGAAGATTGAGCAGGAAACATGGCGGGAGACTGGAATCTCTTTTGTTACCTCAGTTACTCGTCTCATGGAGCGTCTGCTTGACTATAGGTATCTGGCAACAACAGTAATATACTCTAAGAAGTTTGTAAAGAGATAGTACCAAATTTCTTCAGGGAATATTTTTATTGTTTATCAAGCTGCATGCTTTCTCTGATGGCAAGTATTATTTATGTAAGCAAGCCTAACTCATTGCTGCTGGATTCTGAGCAAAAATCCTAAGTCCTTATCTCTAGAGCCCTAATTCTCATTCTTGTTTGCTCGTTCCTGATAACAGCAAAGCTAAAGAAAGTTTTTAATTAGTAGTTTTGTACTAAGGTTTATTCAGGTTGCCTAATGATTAATTTCTTCTATCATTGAAATTATCTCACCTAATTCAGTAAAATAGATGCTACATGCAAGAATGACCTCAAATGCCTTGCTGAACCAAGATGTGCTGAATGCCTCATCTAGACATGCAGGGTTGGAAAACTTCATCTGAGGAAGTCTGACATGTCAGCTGGTGACTCATGTGTGCAAGACTCCACTATAAATTAGGCATCTTTTGTTTAGTTTTAGACTGAAGTTTGCAGGACTACTGTGTCAATATAGCTGAGCTTTGATCGGTTAGAAGAAAATATTTTAATTTCATATATATATATATATCTATGCACACACATACATACCCACACACACACTCTCAGAGTTGTTTTTATGGAGTGATAGACAATTTGAAACTATATAGAACTGCCTCAAATGTTTCTATCTTTAGCCTACTGACAAGAGTTCACATAGTTTTTTCTGCTGCTGCTCATTATAGGTGAAAACCTGTGACTAGGCTGAGGATTCTGCAATCCCAAATCCTTTTCTGTGCTTTTTAATTTGCTCTTTTTGTCATCCTTACCTTGTTTGATACAATCTCCTGTTTGTTTCCTACAACAGCTGCTGTATAACTACTGTGCCAGACCAGGTATCTGAGACACGTTTAAAGGGAACGCAAGAGAGCTCTTTTTTTTTTTTTTTAATGAAATTTGCTATCAACGCAACTTTGATACACAGATATACATTTAATTGAGGAACAAATAGCAGTTTTTAATTGATTTTTAATACACAGTGGGTTTTTTCATTCCCAGAGCAGAACAGAATAGGGAACTTCATCAGAATTTGAAAATACGCAGGCATCTCTTGGAGTCCAGCTGCCAGTTAGTTGACACAGTAGTTCTCGAGACAGTTTGCTGTGTCACTGCTTTAAAAATTTCATCTCTTTTTCACAAATGAATGTGACTTTCTCAAGTCAAGATTAGTAATTTCTGATGCTTTTAACTTTTTGTACTGCTTGAATAGAAATAATTTCTAAAACATTCCAGAAACTAAAGATAATTTTTGTGATTTAACTTACCTATGAAAAAGTTAGTAATCTAGTTGAAATTGCTCGGGTTGTATCTTTCAGCATGCCAACACTACGTTGGATAACTGAATTTATGAAAGCTAATCCTTTGACTAGGAAACCACTAAACATTTATATCCGGATAAATAATAGTTTTTCACTTTTATAGTAGATCTTTCGTTCACATGATTTTTGGCCAATATTATCTGATTTTTGTTCAGATTCTTGTAATAAATGAAGTAGCAGTCATTTCAGGTGCTTGTTCTCAGATGCAGGCATGTAAAAGGACACTCAGTTCTCATATCATTTAAGCCATAATATGGAAATTTTTCTTAGAGGAACTTCATAAAATAAAGTATATGATTAACTGTTGTTTGTGATCCAAGGAAACTCTGGGGATAAGATAGCTTCCAATTTATTTTAAAAGGACTTTTTTTGCAAATGTATGTTTCAACATTGCTTTGCTTTCTTAGGGACTGTATGAAAGGAGATGAAACAGAAAACAAGAAAATTGGCTGCACTGTTAACCTTATGGTAAAGATGTCTCCTTTATCTCTTTGTGATACTGTGCAATGTTGTCGAAACTGGGATGGGAAAGGAATCTGTGTCAGGCAAGTGTAGCTTCAGAATCCGAGCACTGGGATGACAGAACAGAAGGACAGGGATTGTGAGGATCCCCTGGAGGTCTCTGGTCCAACTCTCTGCTTAAAGCAGGGCCAAACAGGTCAGATTCCTCAGGGCTTTGTCCAGCTGAGTTCTGAATATCCCTGTGACAGAGGTTCTACAACCTCTCTCGCCTTTTCTTTCAGCTTTTGACTACCTTCATTTTGAAAAAAAAATCATGACGCAATAAAATTAGCGGGTTAGATCAGTGTGAACGTGAAAAGAATTACTACTTTTCTTTTACACTAATAATGTGTTCTCTTTTCAATACCTTTATACATACACAGATGCTGCTGATTGTCTTGAATGAAGGAAGAGTCTCAATAACAACTGTCTCTTTTCTTTCACAGAATTTCTATAAATCCGAAATTAACAAGGAAGAGATGTACATCCGCTATATCCACAAGCTGTGTGACATGCACTTACAGGCTGAGAACTATACAGGTTAGTAAGACATCATATGGAGTCTGCTTGAAATCCTGGTGAAAGTTTTTGACTCTCCCAATGTTATACTCTAACATCTGATTCATTCTTTTGGAAAAAAAATTGTATGGATCAGTTATGGCAGCTGGGAAGATAAGAAGCTGAGGTCCAGCTCATTCCCTCAAGTCAAATAATGTATGTCTATGCCCACACAGCCATACGACTATTCCATTACACTCCAGGTTTTACATTGAAATGTTCTACGAGGAAGATTGATCAAAAAAATCACAACAGTGGAATCAAATTTAGAGGAAGATTAAAATCACAAAACCACCGTTATATTATCATTTGTCATATTTCCTTGCATTGTAGTATTTAGGGAGCACTTAGAAAGCGTATAGACTCTAATTCTGTGTTGTCCAAGCTCTGTTTACAGCTGCAGGCCCCAAATCTAGTTACGTATCGGAATATCTGACTGTGCATTTAAATCAAGTAGCTAGTAAAAAGAAACTTCACAGATTTGTACCTAAAAATCAGGTTCATAGGAAACAGCTTTCTGCTGCTATTTTAAATAATTGAATAATTTGATGATGATATAAGATTCAGAAGTTTTTCTCAAATTGTAAATCAGAAATTCCAGACTGCTTAAGCAGCAGGTCTAGTGACCTTTCAACCTATTGACTATATTTATTTGTTGTCATTGATTCAGTGTTCAATAACTGCATTTCCAACAGAGGCTGCATTTACTTTGCTTTTGTACTGTGAGTTGCTTCAGTGGGAGGACAGACCTCTGAGAGAGTTCCTGCATTATCCATCTCAGTCAGAGTGGCAACGTAAGGAAGGTCTGTGCCGTAAGATTATCCATTACTTCAACAAAGGGAAGGTATGCCAACTTCTTCTCTCTTCCAGCAGCTTCCTTCCCTTTTCCTGACTTACTTGGGGCTTGCAAGCCTATCGTCTCCGTTCAGTAGTCTGGAAGTAAATTTGTATCAAAAGGTTTTATAACTTGACAAATTGCTTCTTGGCTCTCTGGACAAAAGAAACAGATGAGAAAATGGATATGGATATTTCATTATGCGTAACATTTGGAACTAGTTTAGGCAGGCCAACAGGAAAAACACCAGAACATTTTTATACCTTGAAACCAAACTTTGGATCACCTGATATGGCAGAAAGCTCTAAGTTCCTTAGCTTTTGGGGGGTGGGATTGCATTTTGTAGTTGTCTATGCAAATTTCTGTGTTATGACTCACTTCAGGACTTGTTTTGTTTCTAACCTATAGAAATAAATGGCAGGCAGTGCACTGTAGGAGCCCTTTTATTAAAAAAGACTTAAGTCTTTTCAGTGTCACTGTTATTTTAAAGTGGCTTTCAATTAAAGTGCAGTTCCATCCATTGCACAAGAAGAAAATCAATACATTTCAATTTCACATATTTGGTATGTTTTTCCTACAATATTTTTTTTTTAATTACTGCAGGCGTAGCTGTTCTAGTCCCTTGTATCATAGCATTTTGGGAACATTTCAGAGGTGAACCTTAAAAGTGATATCATCTGTCAGAATATTTTCAAAGTTTTCCCTTCTATAGAAAAATTCCTACAGCTTATATTATTGGAAGATAACATCTGTATGTGCACCTCATTGTTGTTTTTGCCTGTGATGGCAATGACAGTGGCATTAAATACAAATGTAATTTGGTTTATATGGGGTTGCCATTCCAGAAAATTCTTTCCTAGCCCTGATAATGGAAAGTTGCATATAGCAGAGACATTCTCTACAGAACCTGCAAAAGGAAGTCAGATTCCTGTGTGTAGGAAGATATGGCCTGTTTATGAGGAAGTGATTAATTAAGAAGTATTTCTTTTTTTTGGCCAGAATTATTCTTTCGTAATAATATTGCCTACAGTTCTCTTTTTAGTTTCAGAAATTTTCAGGGTTCTTCAGACTGCACCTAAAAAAAATAAATTACTGACTGGTACAAGTATTGCAGTACTGTACTGTCTGACTAGACAAAGATGATACAGAGACTAGGTAAAACAACTGAGCCTGTATTTTTGACACAAAAAGGCAATCCATATATGCACTGAAGAGGAGTAAAAACTTGATGGATGTAATTTTGCTATAAAACTCCTAACGGATTATATAGAGTGTTAGCCTCTTAAGGTTTTTTCCCCACTGGATGTTTTTGGAGTTACTTGACTTTGTTTTAATCCTCCTTTATTGTAAATGGTAGCTGAATGACTAAATAATCCACTTAAGCAGTGTCTGTGTCACTCGAACTATGGAAATGAAAGATGCTGAGAAGCCAAATCCTCCTGCTGCTTTTCAGCACTCTTTCTGTTGCTGTGTAACAGGGAACAGCTCAGGGAATGGAAGAAACTTGCTTCCCTCAACTTGTTTCTGATAGTTTCTTTCTGCACTACCCTAACATGGTGCCTCCTCAGATCCTGAAGAGTAGAATTTGTTGTTCTGTGTCCTTCAGTTATATTTCTAGAGTTAAGTGTCTCATGCTGCTCGTGCCGTGGTCCACTAAGTAAGGGGTCAAAGCAGCACGAAAAGGGTGTAAAAATTCTGCATTTGTTAATGGGAAAATTTTCTCAGCACAGGAATGGGGGAAAACTATGGCCACAAGACTGTCTTGCGAGTTTGGCATAAAGGGCATGCCAGTGGAGGGCACGGAGTGGTGGCGTGGCCCATGGCAGGTCTGGAGCGCTGCAGTGGGGTGCAGAATTGAGTAACTCCCATTTTCAGTATTGTCGGTAGCAGCTCTGTGTTGGGAAGGAACGGGGTGTTCCAAAGCCCTTTTAGCCTTCACTCTGGCGCGGTGCTCCTT